AAAAATAGATGGCCCACGAGTACCCGCCCACATTAAACGTATCCGACGCTATGTACTTCCCAATCCCAATCCCTTTGGACAAAGAATAACCCGTGATCTTAAAATGGTGGGTCCCGTTGACGGTCTCGGTGATCGACGTCGATGTGGTTGTCGGGGGCGACGAAGAGGCCGGGCAAGATGAAGAAGACGAGGGCCTGGAGGTTTCTCTGAAAACCTTACCCATACCCGGCGACAACATTGAATTAATTGGGGCTTTAATTTTTCTGGGATTGAATTTGGGATCTAGGGTTTAATCGGAAATGTGGAATTTGGCTAAAATTGGATGCGAAATGAAGAACCTTGGACTTGCGAAACAAGATTCTTCTTTTCCTGAATATTTTCTCGGGAAAGTGACTGTATTGCGAGAGAATCTAGGGTTTCCTTCGGGAAAGTTATGTTGTTCTCGAAGGTGAGTTTCCAGAGCTTCGTGTTCTCACAATCAGAGAAAGAAGAGAGAAGAGAGGAGAGAGAGAAAGATGGTAAAACGACGACTTGTGATTGTGCTTTTATAGTTGTTTTTTCCCGACAGTGAAATTATTGGTGATGAAGCAGAAGCGCACTTGCCGACCTTTAAAACTCCACCAACTCGCTCTTCCATTGGGCCACGTATGCATCCGCCTATATAGAGACACAAGGCCATTCTAGTCATTCGGATACGCAATTTAATCCTCGCGCAGATTACTTCTCTATTTAGAAATGTTCCATATTTAGTGTCCATATTAATTGGGAGTGAGATTGATAAATAAGATAAACCCATGTTCAAATTTGTTCCCCAATTTGGGAAAGAAATACATTAAAATAGTTCCCTTTTTTTTTGTCAATTTAAATAGAGGTTTTCACATATATACTAATGATAATTTTACAATCTAGAAAAAAATAATTCATTCAGGGTCAATACTTTATAAAATATCGTCAATAGGGTCTAACATAATAGAAAATGACATTAACTTGCAAACTAGTAGTCTTAGATTCTCACCCTCATAACACCTTGTTAGTGTGTGTGAGTGAGAGAAACTTCCAACTCTTATAGTTTAAACTATCGCTTACATTAAAAAATATATATTTTAAAATGCATCATGTTGTATAATAATAACACAATAAGAACTAATTTTTTTATTTTTATTTTTAAGTAAATAGTGGATGTTTTTTTCTTGGGTTAGACTCCTCAAGTGTTTTGGTATAAAAATATAGTAGTTGTCATATATTTTCTTTTCAAATTTATTATTTTAAATAAACAAAAAAATTGGGAGAAGTCGCAAAACTTATTTTACATCTATATTTTGCTTTTATTTATGCATATAAAAATCTGTAATTTGCTTTTCAGGGGAAAAGTCAACAAAACATAGGATTAAATAGCCGTTGGCTTGCTGCTCAAGTTGTGCGAGATGAGACGCGCCAATTGGCGATGTGCGCGAGCCAGCTTGCACGGGTGATGAGCTGACCACCTGCTGCGGGGATAACTAGTCTACACAGACGACCACACTACTTACTTGTGAGTAATGCCAGGTGTCAACAAATGGTGAACCTGATAGATTTCCTATTATCATCTTCCAAATAAAAGAAAATATAAATTATTTTATTTTATTTTTTTAAAACAAAAAAACAATATTAAGATCGGTTGCACGCTGGCCCGCACATTATGATTCTTGTCGTTGATGCATGTAAGGTTTCAAACGTAACAATAACCAAAATCAATCTACATAAGCAGGTGATTGATCGTAACATTCTCTCAAAGAAAAGCTTCTAAAGCAACGGATATTTCTATATATTTTGTGTTCTCCTCCTTTTGAACATTACTTGTGAAATATATGAATTATTCACTACATGACATTGATACGACCATTGACCAAAGAAGGAAGAACAAGTAGATGGTGCATTTATGAATGTAACAAAATACCTGCATGTGACACAGAGTTGTTGCAGCCCATTTAATCTCAGTTATAAGCATTTTGACCAAAATGATGTTAGATTTTATGGTAGCTTGCTCTGTTTGGTGGTCACATTTATTTCTCTAATTTTAAAAGAACATTTATTTATCTTTTTATTTTATATACTTTTCCAGCATAGATGGGAGACCCACAAAAACAAACAAGAAAATAAAGAACCAGCCAGCCAGCTAGCTCTCATTATTAAAATAAAGAGAACCGAATAAGGGATTGCCTTGCTTTAAAGGCAGCAAACACGACTAGTATGACCAAATATTTTTATCATTTTGGTGTTGTGGTTGAGTTCTTGAATGCTTAAGTGATTGATCTGTATTTAAGAAGATAATCAATGCCATGATTTGGATTTAATACTCACATGTTGCACTTTGTCAAGAGACTGGAAAAACATTCAGGTGTGCCAAATGAAGCATAAAGTTTGGCACCATGATAATGACTTCTTCTTATTTTAAAAAGAAAATGTACACCTTTTTTTATAGACTATTTTCATAATTTAATTCAACAATCGGAACATATGTTAGAACTCGAACCCATGATCTTGTTTAGAGGAACAATTACTCTAAACAACTATACTAGTAAGTCTTTTGCAGACTATTTTTATTTTAAGTTGGGTCATTCATACAAAAAATTATTCAAATAAAATATTATTTGATTACCCAAAATAAAATATGCAATAAACACAATTCGTTGAATAAAACTGAAATTTTAACCAACTAATTTCACAATAATTAAAGCACCCTCAAAATGAGAATGAATTTAAAGTAAATTTCGAACTATGCAAGCTGGAAGATGAATTTTAATTTTCCGATAACATCTGTCGGATTTTTATTTTCATTTTTGGTATGTCACAATCCAAACCCTCACATAAATCTAGAGGTTTCCATTGTGGGGTCAATTTCCATGCAAAGATTTTTTCCCCTCAATTCTGTTTCAGTAGGGACTCATCGCACCCTAGCCAAATCAAACAACAATGGTATGCAAAATCGACGGCCAAGATGTCACAACCAGAAACTAAAGAAATATAATGTATGGTGCACAAAGTTACACGGGCAGAAAACCCAATATTCAGGAGAGTCCAAGGTGGAAGAAAACAGACACTTTTTGTCTGACGTGAGAAATCCAACCTGGATTCTCAGATCAGAAATTTGTCGATCAAACAACTGGATGACATAAAATCCGACTTTGTTATTTCCGATTTTTATTATGTGTGGCTGCAGCTCAAAATGAAAAAGACCAAACTGTGAAAAATCTTGGATTTTGAGGTCCAGGGATGGATCAGTTTATGGTGGTGTGAAGAAGAGGCACGACGCACCAAAAAGGAGAGAAATTTGGTTTCTGAAACTGGGTATCTCTCGGCCATGGCAGATAAGCTTTGTTTGATGGCTTCTCATGGCTACCCTCACGGCCTTGTTTTACAGCAAGAGCAGGGCATAGTCAAGGTAAAGCAAAGGTTTTCTAGCTTAGCTTATTTGTTTTCATTGGTTTGGTATTTGGTTTTCAGATGAGATTTTTGTATTTGCATTCGAATTTGATTCATTTGGGTTTAATTTTCATGTCTGATTGTTATTTGGGTTGCTTTCATATTAATCAAATTCGGTTCCTTGAGTTTGTCTTGCATGTTTAGCTCTATCTGGGGCTTCAGTTTTTCTTGTTTTGATTTATTGTTCTGAATGGAATTGAAGTTCTAGCCGATATATTTTCCTTTTTCTTTTAAAGCTGTTGCTGAAAAGATTATATATTTTCCTTTGATTAAAGCAGGATTTTCAACCCCTTCTGCCGAGTTATGGAGCAAAGCAGGAAATCACAAAACTGGGATCTTTGAAATTGATGCCGCAGCAATGTGAGGAGCCATGGAAACTCGCCAATGGATTGCCAGAGGCCAACTGGTTTGCCAAGACCGAAAGGCCTGTACTCACTGAGATGCAAAGTATGCACCTCAATATTGATTTCATTGCCGTTTGTCCCAAAGAATTTATTTAAATTTTGTCTATCTTGCTCTTTTGTGGTTACAGATAAAATTAGATTTAGATGGGCTGAGTGGTACTACAATAAATTAGATTTATTCTTCTCCATTTCCAGCATAACTTTCTATAAATGATTATCTCATGCATCCTAAAATAAATTAGAACAACTTAACTTGGCAATAATGACATATCAGATTTATGCGGTTATATCCTTATCGCATGTGTTATAATGAAATGTAATTTCTTTGCAATATGTTGAATTATCTCTTTTTCCTGATGATTACAGATGTTCATCCAGACTCAGTGCTGTTCAGTATTGGAATTGCTGAACACTTCATAAGACGTGAAAAAATGTTGCAGTTCCTCAAGTCTGGAGAAACTGAAGCAGAGAAAGGCGGACTAGATATAACCGTACTATATAACTTGATGGGGTTACATGAAATGAGCCAACAAGCATTCATTCCTTCTCTTATCTACCCAAGTAGTGAGTTTAATACCCAGAAGCCTCTCTTGGACTTTGTGGGAGGTCTTGCCTGGAGTTCCAAAATTGCAGTTCAGCCAGATGGTCGAGTCTTATTCACAGGTACAGGGACTGAGATGGAGCATCTCCTTTCGGTTGTTGCTGAGTTTTACTCATTGAGAAACTCAGTTTGTTGGAAAAAGCAGTCTGTGCTGGTTCCGCACTTCAATAGGTATGCATGGACGATTATACCTTTTTTTTAATTTAAATTTGGCATCTTTTTTTTACAGGATCAAATACTTATCATAGTCCTCAGAATGAATATTTTCTGACTATGTTTGAATACACATGCATGAGTATATTTCTTTCAACAGTATGGAATCAGTAGATCTTGTGGACCGAGTGTTTTTTTTTGGTCGAAAGAAAAACTGAGTTTAGAATGAATATTTCCTTAATAATCCTTTCTTAGAAAAATACCTTTCATTTTGATGAATATTCTTTATACTTTCCAACTGTCTATATTTTAAGTCTTCTCCATTCCTATAAAACATGACCTGACAATAACTTTACGAATCAGGGTGGAGAGCAGGGATGCAGGAGCTAATATTGATGGAACTTTTTTGAAGATGCAAGTGACTACCCTTGCTCCTTTAAAGAGGTATTGACATGAACATGTTTTTATTATTCTTTTTCCCTTTTACCCTTTCTCTTTCCATTTCTTTGTACCTGTTGAAGGGATATCAGTTTCAAGATTAAACTAAATTGTTTTGCTGTAATTGATGTTATTGGTGTCACACTGGTATGCCTGTTCTTCCACCAAATCTTGGATCAAAGCATGCTTCGTATTAACTTTTTGTCTGTTATCTACTTAACAGTCCGGAAAAAGTCAAAAAAAAGGCAACACAAAAGCAGAAGAGTGGGAAAAGAGTAGGCAAAGATAGAGATCTCTACAAGAGGAACTATTTCCACGCCTGTGAGAGCCTTCTATCTTTAATGATTAACAGAAGGCGGCATGGGAAATCAGCAATTCTCTCACTTCAAAGATCTGGCCCTGAGGTTCCAGAGCTCCTCACCCAGTTTTCTGCTAGTATCGCTGGAACCGGCTTAGCTCTCCTATTCTCTGTCCTCTGTAAAGTAAGTTGTGGGAGGGGGCCCTTTTGTGCGTCCAAACTCTTGAATACTGGAGTTGCAATTGGGTTAGTTTGGCTCTCTTGGGCAGTGAACAAGCTGAGGGACACAATTATTCATATCAGCAAGAATTCAAAGAAGTTGGATCTAAAAGAAGAGGAAATAATGGAAAGGGTAGAGGGAAGTGTGAAAGAGATTTACTTTAGAGCTGCAACACTGATGGCAGTGGCCGTGTTGAGGCTTGCTTGAGCATGAAATGAGAAGAAGAAGATACACAGATGGTTTGAGGAACATTTGACTAGAGCGATGAACAAGAGAATATCTGTACATATGGTGACCAAGTTGGGTGATCGGCAGAGAGGTGAAGCTTGTTGGACATGAGGTGTGAAGAACCCATCTTTGAAAGAAAAGTTGGAAATCTGATTTCAGTTGCCGTGAACCAGAGCTCTCGTCATCCGAGCTCTGGACCAGTCAGCTGGTAGTAGTAGTAGTCATGTAGAATGTGAATTGATAGAAGGGTGACTTGGTGGTAGTCTGTAGTACTAAACAATTTTGTGCGTGAAACTGTCTTTCTCTTCCCCTCTATGATCTTATAATCTCGATGGCTGTTCAAATAACTTTTGCATTGGTTATAGAATAAATGTTTTAATAATAGCTGTTATTGGAAGTCAAATACCGTTGGAATCGTGCTTTCCATTTTTCCCTCCTTTCTGCCAGGTCAATTGGCTCTTTATGTTATCTTTGTTTGATTATTTTCTATCTGGGCACGTTTTTTTGGTAAAAGGCAAAATCTTTTATTTATACCATTACCTTTTTTCGCAACTAGCAATCATGCAAACCAAAAAACGAACAAAGAGAACATACAAGGAACAATTAGGCTTTCAACAAGTGAAACAGATTAGCAATGACGGCCACCGGAAGATAAAAAAATAATGTCACATTGTACATGGTAAAGAATATAAATTACTTGAACGAACAGACACTGATCACATTATTGACAGCCTTGGTAAAAACTATGGGATGAAAACGTGCCAAATTTCCTTCTTAATTTACTCTGTTCTTTTCCTAACACAGATGATCTCATCGAAAATACCTAAAACAAACTCATGCAACGCGGATTATGTAACCAATTACCACACGTCAGTTTTTTCTAAGTGAAGAGTTCTTTTGGTTCCCCACCCCTTTTTCCACTAATGTGCATACAGAGAGATTCAAGGATCGAGCCGGAAAATCTCATCTCAGAGTACTTTAGAAACAACTCCTGCACCAACCGTTCTACCTCCTTCCCTCAAGGCAAATCTTTGTCCTGCCACATGAACGTAGGGAAGTTTTAGCTTTCAAAACTTCAATTAAAAGGAATAAGGAAACAGAAACAGTGAAACTCTGGAAATAACAACCACGTCAAATTAACACACAGACAAGCAGATTATTTAGCTTTCAGCAGCAGAGATGATGTGTACAAACCTGCTTCAAGAGGAACCGGTTGAATCAGCTCAAAAACTGCAGTAACATTGTCCCCAGGCATAACCATCTTAACATCTTCAGGCAATTCTACCTTTCCAGTGATATCTGCAGTCCTCATATAAAACTGAGGCCTGTAGTTTGAGAAAAAGGCAGTATGGCGTCCACCTTCATCCTTTGTGAGGACATATATCTCTGCTTCAAACCTCTTGTGTGTCTTCACTGTTCCTGGCTTAGCAATTACCTATGCAATAGGAACAAACAAGTGCAGCAGAGCCATCCAACATTTACAACAGTCAGTGCTGAAACAGAGTTTAGTTGCCCAAACAATTGAAAGAAACTTAGCGCATCAAATAAAAAATAACCAATAAAAGAATCATTTTCACAAGGTATAAACTCACTAGGTAATATCCACAAGTTCAATATCTTTTCTTAAAATAATTTCCACACGTAATTTTTCTGCTGCAATTGAAACCACACACCTGTCCTCGTTGGATATCCTCCCTCTTTAGACCTCGAAGAAGAAGACCAACATTATCACCAGCCTAGTCGAGTGCACAAACCCATCATGAGATATATTTTGTGCGGTAAAAAAGCCTTAATATATTGAAGTGTGTTTAGAATCAGTCACTTACTTCTCCATGATCCAAGATTTTCTTGAACATCTCAACACCAGTCACCACTGTTTTCAAAGGAGCACCCTGACAAAGAACACAAACTAAGGATTAGCCCTTCTTAGAGTGGTATTTTATCCTCAAGCTATCAAAACTAATTCAAAGATCAATGCCACCTAAATTAAAGGTCCACCTTAGGCCAATGCCAACTCATAGAATGAGTTGCATAGCAAAACATTTGCTAAAGTAATAAAAGGGAAATAGATGCACAAGAAAGCTTTGCAGCACCAAACAATATAAAAACTTGTGTTAGACAGACCTGATGCAACCCCAGAATCTCAACTTCCTCGCCAACTTTAATGGTCCCTTGCTCAACACGACCAGTGGCAACAGTTCCACGACCCTTCAAAACACAAAAGAAATTGATAATGTGAAGTGACCGCTAAAAATGAAACTACCTACTACAAAAAACCACGCACAAAAGAAAAAGAAAATCAAATAAAAATAAGGATCAGAACAGTGTAAGGCATTAGAAATGTGAAACACAAGAATATGGGCAATTCAAATAAATCACATCAATTTTATAATAGTAATAGTTTATAATAAAAATAATAGTTTCATGATCAAAACAGTAGTAATAGTAAAAGCAGCAGCAATGATATTACGAGAGCAACGTACCCAGATGTTATGAACAAAATTAAAGGCCAACTTTAAGACAATCCTTGTAACAAATGTCAATGCCCTAAAGGGATTAATATTTAGGAATGTCTACACGAGTATGGCTAAATGCATGCCCAACTTACCTGGATTGAGAAAACATCTTCAATTGGCATCAGGAAAGGTTTGTCAAGTTGGCGTACAGGGTCAGGAATGTATTCATCCACAGAATCCATAAGTTTTAGAATTGCCTTTTTGCCAATCTCTTCATTTGTGCCTTGTAAAGCCGACAGAGCTGAACCCCGGACGATAGGGATTTCATCCCCAGGGAACTTGTAGAAGCTAAGAAGCTCTGCCAGAAACATAAGACAAATTAAAAAACTTCAATTGAATATAAAGCCGTCTGCTAATAAAGTGATCTCCTAAATCTACGAACCACGGAGCTCCATTTCCACAAGCTCCAACAACTCTGGATCATCAACAGCATCGACTTTATTGAGAAAACACACAAGTGATGGCACACCGACCTGTGCAATACACCCAACAAAAAAGTATACATATACATCAATGTGCACACAAATACACGAGAAAAAGCACATAAGTTTGATTTTCTTTGCAATCTGATGACCCCAAAAATACCCACCTGTCGAGCCAGCAGAATGTGTTCCTTAGTTTGTGGCATAGGCCCATCAGGAGCAGATACAACCAAAATGCCCCCATCCATTTGGGCAGCTCCAGTAATCATGTTCTGTGCGTTAATCATACTTATTAGAAGAATTCATGTATGCAAATATTGTTCCCTTAAATTCAAAGCTTACTTTGACATAATCTGCGTGTCCTGGGCAGTCCACATGTGCATAGTGTCGCTTGACAGTCTCATACTCTACATGAGCCTTCAAAATCAAGGCAAACCCAAGTTAGGTTGGAATAATACTTTGAGAAGATGAGGCAATAACCCAATTGAAGCTTACACTATTCCACAAATACCAAAATGCCAAGATGATAATTAAGAAAAACATACTAACCGTTGCAATTGTAATTCCTCTCTTTTTCTCTTCAGGGGCCTTATCAATTTCATCAAAGGCTATAGCCTTAGCTTTTCCTTCTTCTGCTAGTACCTGAGGAAAATATAAAACATTACGATTATGGAAAATTCTTTCTTTTTTTGTTGACAACTCTTTCATATGTACCGGGCCTCATTTCATGAGAAGGAGATGTATTATAGGTTGGAAAAGCTGCTCTCTTTAGCAAATTCTTTTCAGGTTCTTACTTAAGAAGGAAATACAGATAAACATACAGTCCAGAAACATGCATAGAAAAGCAATCACTGCATCAATGACCAACCTTTGTAATTGCGGCAGTCAGAGTGGTTTTTCCATGATCGACATGTCCAATTGTTCCAACATTCACATGAGGTTTTCTGTTGGCCAAACAGCATCATATGTATAAAGAATGTGATTATAGTTACAAACCAGAAAAATTCCTATCCCATGATATTCAAGTTCAAAAGAGTAAACAAGAAAAGAATGGTGATAAATCCAATTCAGACTAAAATGATAAAGTGGGACAAATTAAACAATACAAAACTCAAGCGTACAAATCTCTCTCTTCTAAAAGTCCCATTTTTTATTATGAAAAATTCCAACTCAAAGTAACAAACACACACAACGGATGAATACTAACGTGCGTGTGAAGGTGGCCATGGATCTCCACCAAGGATTGGGGCTAGAAGATCGGTCATTTCCGAAACTGGATTCAGAGATTGAAGAACCAACTGATCCTCGGGTACACCAATAGATTTGCGAGGAGTAGGGGAGGATGCGCCTGGAGCTAGGGTTTCTGAGAGCGACCGCAGCCATTGGAAATGAGGACGAAGAAACAGAGAGAAGGATTTGCTTCAGCCTTCACTCAGAGTGTGGCGGAGACTTGGAGTGTGTGTGGTTTGTGGGGTTTTAGGCTTTAAGCCGTTTAGGGCTTTTGGGATTTCTCGAGGGTTTTGCTGACGGGCTTTTGGTAACAAAATAACCACCCGTATCAATCGAACCCGGCCCGTCTTTTATGTAATCGCACGACGACGACGACATGACGGATGACGCGGAAGTATCAAGCCATCCAACGACTTGTAGTACAAGGGGATGCTTACACCTTAATTACAAGTAAACAATTCTTACTAAGTTCATTTTCCAATAATTGGTCAAGACACCTATATCTATAAGTCTAGTCTTATGAAAAAGTGTGTAATGTCTTTGTATAGACTCATTGCACATTTGAGGGTAATTTTGTGTCCTCTCACGTTTATCTCTCATGTGCTGGTCACGTGATCAGTTATTGTGAGAGGAACGTTGTATACACATTTGTATGTAGAATTTTTTCCAATTGATCGCTTGACTTGAATTAGTTCTATATTTTGTCACTTCTCTAATCAGATAAGGTCATGGTCCAGTTGTAACTTAGAGGTCGGTGTGTAAGCAAATTTCTTTCTTGAATTAACAGAGCAGAATGCTTAGATGATTGGATCATCTCAAAGTTGAGGCTTGTAGTGGAGGGCTAAGTGTCAGAAAGCAAGACAAGTTACCCACAATTTGGCCTGTATATTTTTCAGACCTTTGCATTCGTACTTAAGGCACTTCATCGCATTTGCATCCCTACGTGGCTATTTCAGCTTACAAGACACCTATATCTTACCAAACTTTTGTTTTCAAGTTCCGGCCTGCCACCTTAACCTTAAGCACCTATATATATTAAAGATTGTTTCACCTCTAATGACCTTAACCATCCATCTTCAATAAAAATCATCCTTTTTAACCATGGCTCTGAAAGTCCTTGCCCTTCAATTACTAGCCTCATTGGCTGCATTCTTGCCTACAACCAGCCCCGCCAATCTCAGTTATCCGGCTGTCTTTAACTTCGGCGATTCGAATTCAGACACCGGAGGCCTCAATGCAGGAATTGCTTTTCCTATTAAACGTTTCTGCAATGGCTATTTGATCATTGATTACATAAGTATATATATTTCTGTTCTTACATGTGCATGTATATAGATTTGGTTTACATAGACATGTTTGACATGTTACAATTTTACTTTATTTGCATTAATATATGCTGCAGTGAATGAAATGGACCTACCATTTCTGAATCCATACTTGGATTCTGTTGGTGCACCAAGCTTCCAAACTGGATGTAATTTTGCAACAGGAGGGTCTACTGTTCTTCCAGCCAGTGCAGCCTCAATAAGCCCCTTCTCCTTTGGAATTCAGGTTGCTCAATTTGGCAGATTCAAGGCAAAAGCTCTTGAGTTACTATCTAAAGGTACTGATTATATACTGTGGTAAGAATTGGCTTGTTGATCATGTGGAATTTACTGATGAGAGTTTTGGTGACTGGTGTGGGATTTAGACAAGAAGCTTCAAAATGTCCTCCCTTTCGAAGATAATTTCAAGCAGGGCCTTTACACATTCGATGTGGGACAGAATGATCTTGATGGTGCATTTTCTTTAAAATCAGAAGACCAAGTAGTTGCTTTAATCCCATCTATTATGACCGAATTCGAGACCGGAATTCAGGTTCTGTCTGCCATTTTTCATACTTCAGAATCTTAATTTGAGACAGTTAATAACTTTTGTTTTCTTTTGCAGAAACTATACAATCAGGGGGCTAGGAATTTTTGGATTCACAACACAGGTCCACTGGGATGCCTACCAAGAATTATTGCAACATTTGGGAAAAACCCATCACAGCTTGACCAATTTGGATGCGTTGCTTCCCACAACCGTGCTGCTACTGCTTTCAATGCCCAACTGCATGATCTTTGTTTCAAGTTTCAGAGAAAATTCCCAGAAGCCAATGTTACTTACATCAACATCTACAAAATAAAGTTGGACCTCATCACAAACTATGCTCAATATGGTAAGATAGCTTTCCTAATTAATTTAAATTGGGTTTCTTGGATCTCAAGATTAATAATATCCAAGAATGTTAATTATTGGCTTTCAGGATTCAAACAAGGCATAGCAGCTTGCTGTGGATATGGTGGTCTGCCATTAAATTTTGATAATCGGATTAACTGTGGAGAAACCAAGAATCTCAATGGGACTTTGGTCACTGCAACACCATGCAATAATCCAGAAGAATATGTGAATTGGGACGGCAGCCATTATACTCGAGCTGCAAATCAGTATGTGTCAACCCAGATATTGACTGGAAATTTCTCAGAGACACTTGACATCTTCCAATATTGAATGCAAATTTTCTCAGAAACAATAAAACAAGTCTCAAAAGTCAGCAATGGCAGGCTACGTGTTCCATTTTCTGAAACTCTGTCTCTATATATCCATGGGCTGTAGTTAGCTTAATGGGATGAATTAATGTGTGAGGAGGCATGACGAAATAATTCTTGGTGTAACGAATATTTATCTTTTTAATACTGAAACTCGTCGAAGTTTAATTCCCTCGTCACTTATTGATGAAATGAAAATTTGTGTAACCTGTAATGTATGATTTATACATGATCAAGTGCTTGCCTCATTCCGTTCTTGAAACTTGATACAAAGGGAGGGGTGTTAATGTAGAACAGAACCAAGTGCTTGCCTAAATATGAATATATACTCGTTTTCCCCTAAATTTTTTTAAAAATCGTATAGCCGGTCGGCTAAACTTGTTTTACCTAATTAAAAATAGTATAGCCGAACGGCTATACGTGGTTTTATTAATGTTTCTTGAAAATAATAGTATAGCCGACCGGCTATACTTATTTGACACGCTGGCACCTAATCCCTGGGCGGGTCCTCTTTGTTTTTTCATAAACGTATAGCCGCGCGGCTATACTAGAGTTTTAAAATTTTTAAAAAATACAGTATAGCCGCCCGGCGTTACGGGTTTCTTTAATTTTTTTAATAAACAGTATAGCCGCCCAGCTATATCCCTTTTTGTTAATTTTTAAAAAAAAATACTATAGCCGGTCGGCTATATTCGGTTTATTAATGTTTCTTAAAAATAGTATAGCCGCTCGGCGATACGAGAATTTTTTTCATTTTAAAAAGAATAGTATAGCCGTCCGGCCGTACTGGGTTTTTTTAGTTTTAATTTGTTTTAACTTGTTTTAATAAATAGTATAGCGGAGTGGCAATACTCATATATATATATATATATATCAGTATGTGAATTGGGACTTTGGTCACTGCAACACCATGCACTAATCCAGAAGAGTATGTGAATTGGGACGGCAACCATTATACGCAAGCTTCAAATCAGTATGTGTCAAACCAGATATTGACAGGAAATTACTCAGAGGCACTTGCAATCTTCCAATATTATTGACTCAGCAATGGTGGCAAGCTACATTTTCCACTTTCTGAAACTCTCTCCGTATAGCTATGGGCTCTAGTTAGATTAATGGGATGAATGTGTGAGGAAGCATGACGAAATAACTCGTGGTGTAATGAATAATTCTCTTTTCAATATTGGAAATGGTCGAAGTTTAAATCCCTCATCACTTATTGATGAAATGAAAATTTGTGTAACATGTAATGTATGATTTATACATTCATTATACATGATCAAGTGCTTGCCTCGTTCTGTTCTTGAAACTTGACACAAAGGGAGGGGTGTTAATGTAGAACAGAACCCAAGTGCTTGCCTAAATATGAATATATATATTTCTTGGTCATCAAGTTTACTCTTTTATTTCTTTCTTTACCTTGTTTCAACTTTATTTCTTTCATGAGTTTTTTTTTTAATTTCTTGGAATTCCACTATAAAATGACTTGTTGTTATGTAAAAGAGCATCAGTTGAATAAAAGAACGAATTTGTTTCTCTTCATAGAGAGTACAAGATGCCTAAGCATGGAATACAAATCATAACTCCCATGAACTGTGAAATTAGTGGTTTACAAGGTGTAGTTGTGGAGCAAAGGGTATACAAATCATAACTCTAAACAACTTATACAAATTTGGATGCTTTCTTTAGTGGTGGGTTTTTTTTTGGGTTGGGGGTTGTAATTGATAATCAACAATCTTGTTGATATCTTTTTATAGGAAGAACAATATTTTCTGAAACGCATCAAGGATGATGAATGGATGAAGGATTATAAATTCATGCCTTCTATCACAAAAGAAGTTCCATGGTATTTGATGAGAAATTGTTCTCTCTCTCTGCCTCATTCTCTCACACAAGACTATGCAACTATATGGTGTGTTCCTTTTTGTGCTGGATTGAAGAAATTTTATATCTGCTTCACTTGGAGCTGAAATTTGACTTAACAGGACATGGTGGTTCCTTGATTTTGTTATATAAGGATGATGAGACTTTTCGTGTGAATGTGGTGGGAGCTCGAAGAGCCAGAGTCTTTGAGTACCCAGCTGAGAATGCAGTATTTGAAGGATCAAAGAGAAGCTGGCCCCAAATTGAGACATTAGCTGATCTCGAAAACCTTCCACTTACAACAAAAGGGAAGAAAGATCACAAGGTTTGCCTTACTTTATTAGCAATCTTTCTATGTACAAAACTTCATTGGTTTTCAAGTAATATGATTGCTAATTTGGCTTAGATCCTTGGAGTCAAACGAATTGAGCGGGTACTTCCAGTTGGTACTTCTTTGAGTGTTGTTGGTGAGGTTGCAGTTTCATGAAAATGTCTCATTTTATTTGCACCAAGTTCTTTTGCTAGTGCTTTTGTTGGACATTGAAATGCCCCATTTTATAATTTCTTGTTCAGGCTGTGAAAGATGGCAATGGTACGATTTCGATTCGGGAACCATACAGAAGACCATTTTATGTCTCTCCCAAAACCATTGATCAGCTCACTGAAGAGAGTAGGATGTGGGCAAGGTTGGTTCTATGAATCCTTGAATGCATACAAACATGTGTCACTTGTGTGTGCATTCTCTAAAGTCTAAACTAATTGATGTCTTTATAACCGGGTTGTTTTATGTTGCATCTTTTGGTTTCACTGTGAATGGTGGTGTCCAGATTGCAAAGCATTCTATCTGATTCATCATGGAAACAAAGCTCCATTGAGAAATTGCAGAGAAGAAGAAAATGTCGATGATTGGATGATATTTTTAAGAATTTGAAGGTGTTGACGCTCAAAAATGGTTCGGCACTTTTGAGCCCAACTTAGTGATGAGGTGTTATTGATGATGGGCGGGAGAGTGGTCTCCTTTTATAGGTGAGGGGGAGCCTTCACTTCTTGTAATATTCCAATGTGGGACTCTTTGCTTTGCCTAGAGTTGCTTCTAGTTGCTTGGTCAAATATGGTATAAACAGAAGTCCCCCAAGTTCTCAAGCAAGGAGGTACTCCTTGGTTGAGGACTTGCAATTTTCAGTGCATTGACCGAGCAACACCTTAGTCTTCTTCCAAGTAGTGTAGTGTCGATGGTGTCGAATGATGACTGGGTGCCGAAGGCATCGCTCTCGTCGGATGACGACAGGGTGCCGAAGGCATCTCTCGTGTCAAATTATGGGTACCGAAGGCAGCGCTCTTGTCGGATGATGACAGTGTGCCGAAGGCATCGCGTATATGAAGACAGGGTGCCGAAGGCAACTCTCTTGTCACATGATGACAGGGTGCCGAAGGCATCGCACTCGTCGAATGATGGCGGGGTGCCGAAGGCATCGCCCACGCTTAATGATGGCCGGGTGCCGAAGGCATCGCACGCGCCGAATGATGGCGGGGGTGCCGAAGGCATCGCTCGCGCCGAATCATGACGGGGTGCCGAAGGCATCGCTCTTGTCAAATGATGACGGAGTGCCGAAGGCATCGCACTCACCGAATCATGACGGGGTGCCGAAGGCATCGCACTCGTCGAATGATGGCGGGGTGCCGAAGGCATCTCTCACGCCTAATGATGGCCGGGTGCCGAAGGCATCGCACGCCCCGAATGATGGTGGGGGTGCCGAAGGCACCGCTCATGCCTAATGATGGCCGGGTGCCGAAGGCATCAGTGAAACTTTGTATAAGAGATACCATGTGGCGATACTAGCATAGTGTACGGATTACTTCTCCAAATTTGTAATGATTACGGGGTGAAACTTTGTATAAGAGATACCATGTGGCGATACTAGCATAGTGTACGGATTACTTCTCCAAATTTGTAATGATTACGGGGTGAAACTTTGTATAAGAGATACCATGTGGCGATACTAGCATAGTGTACGGATTACTTCTCCAAATTTGTAATGATTACGGGGTGAAACTTTGTATAAGAGATACCATGTGGCGATACTAGCATAGTGTACGGATTACTTCTCCAAATTTGTAATGATTACGGGGTGAAACTTTGTATAAGAGATACCATGTGGCGATACTAGCATAGTGTACGGATTACTTCTCCAAATTTGTAATGATTACGGGGTGAAACTTTGTATAAGAGATACCATGTGGCGATACTAGCATAGTGTACGGATTACTTCTCCAAATTTGTAATGATTACGGGGTGAAACTTTGTATAAGAGATACCATGTGGCGATACTAGCATAGTGTACGGATTACTTCTCCAAATTTGTAATGATTACGGGGTGAAACTTTGTATAAGAGATACCATGTGGCGATACTAGCATAGTGTACGGATTACTTCTCCAAATTTGTAATGATTACGGGGTGAAACTTTGTATAAGAGATACCATGTGGCGATACTAGCATAGTGTACGGATTACTTCTCCAAATTTGTAATGATTACGGGGTGAAACTTTGTATAAGAGATACCATGTGGCGATACTAGCATAGTGTACGGATTACTTCTCCAAATTTGTAATGATTACGGGGTGAAACTTTGTATAAGAGATACCATGTGGCGATACTAGCATAGTGTACGGATTACTTCTCCAAATTTGTAATGATTACGGGGTGAAACTTTGTATAAGAGATACCATGTGGCGATACTAGCATAGTGTAATGGCTCCTCCCAATTTTTGTGTAACATGTAATGTATGATTTTTTTTATAAAAAAAAAAATTGTAAACGAGCCAAGCTGAGCCGAATCTTGGGCTATAAGCCAAGCCAACCTTTTGGGCTCAAAACTTTTTGTAGGGCTTGCAATATGATTTTAACGTTTTAGCCCACCCCAATCAGGGCTGCCTCTGAAACTTGCCTGAATTTGTATATTTCTTGGTCATTAAGTTTGTTACAAATTTGTTACCCTTTTCAACTTGATTTCTTTCCTGGGGTGTTTCTTATTTACAAAAACTCCTTCACAAAAGAGGGAACTTGCCTTATTTAAAAGGGCATCAGTTGAACAATAAAGAAGGACAAATTTGATTTCTTCCTCGCAGTACAGAGAATAGAAGATGATTGAAAGTATAGTATTTTTTTTCTTGGGAGGTGCTTCTTACCTTGCTGGCCGCTCCTATGACAGGTCAGTTTATGCTCCATCTTTTCAAAAGATTCAAGCTTTTTGTTCAGCGGAGCTCAGTAACAACAATTAACTGCACATTTTGAAGTTCTTAAAGAAATTAAATTTCTTGGTGGGTAACTTTTTTGGCCTTTTGGGTTATTTCAGGCAGGCAGATAAGCTTGCATCGGTCCCTCGGATTAGGGAGTTTAAGGATTTAGGTATGCACTGTTTCTTTTTTTTTTTTTTTCTTTTTTTTTCAGTGGAAACTCTTTTTCTTTGAGTTCTTGAAATTCCTAAATTAGATTTTTAAATCTCGTTTTACTGTTCAGAGCCATTGTTGAAATCTCAGAATAGATTGATGGTTGCACTTCGGGGAAAAGTTGGCTCGGAAACTCCCATGAACTGTAAATTTAGTAAGTTACAAGGTGTAGTTGTGGAGAAAAGGGTAAGCAAATCATAACTCTAAACAACCTATACAAATTTGGATGCTTCCTTTAGTAGGCTCTTTGTTTGGGTGTCATTGATAATTAACAATCTTGTTGATGTCTATTTTAGGTTTTAAAATATTTTCTGGAACGCATCAAGAATAAGGACAAGGACGAGAAAGAGGATAAGAAGAAGAAGGAGGACAAGGGTGATGAATGGAGGAAGGATTATGAAGTCTTGCATTCTACCAGCAAACAAGTCCCATGGTATTTGGTGAGAATTTGCTCTCTCTCTCTCTCTCTCTCTCTCTCTCTCTCTCATGATAGTATTGTATTTGCCGTGTTTGTTTTGTGCCTGCTTGATTAAGGAAATTTTAAGTCTGGTTCTTTTGGAGTTGAAATTTGACTTAACAGAACATGTTGGTGGTTCCTTGATTTTGTTATATTAGGATGATGGGACTTTTCGTGTGAATGTGGTGGGAGCTCGAAGTGCAGAAGGCTTTTACTGCACACATCGATATGCAGTTTTTGAACCATCAAGGAGCTGGCATGGAGTTGAGACATTACATGATCTCGAAAACCTTCCGTGCATAACAAAAGGGAAGGAGGACCGCCAGGTTGGCCTTCCTTTACTAGTAATCTTTATATGCATACAAAACTCCATTGGGTTCAAGGAATATATGTCGATGATTGTAATGGATTATACTTTTAGAAGAATTTGAAGGCCTTAAATTGTCTCTTTATATTCTCAATTTGACTTTGCTCACACACAACACATACACTTGACATCTTCCAATATTGAATGCAAATTTTCTCATGGGATCCAACTCCTCAGTTGTATTAGTAAAACTAAAAACAATGTAACAAGTCTCTGAAGTCAGCAATGGCAAGCTACATTTTCCATTTTCTAAAACTCAAGTCTCTATACTAACGTGGTCTAGCCGAGTAGAAAAATGCATTGACTTGTAAATAAGTGGTCTCAAGTTCGAACTCTAATGGCACTTGAGTAGTGTGTGTGAGAAACCTCCATCGAGTTGTAATTTAGACTATTGCTTGTGTTTAAATAAATAAATAAAACTGTCTCTATACCTTAATGGGTCTTCCCAATATTGGAAATGGTCACTTGATGGAAATTTTGTGTAAAATTATGAATATTATTATGGTATTATATTATGCTTAATTCATGTATGACCATTTACCAATTAAAACAAGATACCGAAGTTCATCTATTACTTAAAACAAAAGTGGCACCAACTGCTAACGGGGTCTAACTCAGTGTAAAATGGTCATAACTTGTAGACAAAAGGCCTCATGGTAGAAGAAGATGTTTGGAGGTATACTATTTTGTTTGTTGGGAGGTGCTTCTGTGACAGGTCAGTTTATGCTCCAGCTTTATGTTAATCGTCTCCCTTCAAAAGATTCAAGCGTTTTGTTCAGCAAAGCTCAGTATGCACCGTTTACGGAGTTCAAGGGTTTGGGTATGCACTGTTTCTTTTTTCCAGTAGAAACTCTTGAAATTCCTATATCATATATATTTTTTAAATCTCGTTTTACTGTTCAGAGCCATTGTTGAAATCTGACAATAGATTGATGGTTGCATTTCGGGGAAATTTCTATATAATACATGTATTCCTTGGCGCTATTCGCCGGGTTCTTTTTTTATTTATTTAATAATTAGTATAGCCGAACGGCTATCATTTGTCATTTTTTTTAATAACAGTATAGCCGTGCGGTTATACTCTTCACTCGTTAAAAAAACTAGTATAGCCGTTCGGCTATACCGTCTTTTTTATTAATAACGCTAGCCGACCGAGTACACTCTAAAATCGTATAGCCGAACGGCTATACTGGGCCTTTTTTCTTTTTGAAAAAATACATCGTAGAGCCGGCCGGCTATACTCTGCTCCTGGGTTAATTTTTTAATAATTAGTATAGCCGATCGGCTATACATTTTTTATCTGTAAAAATAGGATAGCCGATCGGCTATACTAGGTGTTAATGTTTCCAAAAATAGTATCGCCGCACGGCTATACTTACTTTGACACGTGAGCACCTAATCGTTGGCGGGGTTCCCTTCTGTTTTTTGTAAATAGTATAGCCGAACGGCCGTACCGGATTTTTTTTGTTTTAATTTTTTTTAAACAAATAGTATAGCCGCGCGGGTTGAAACTTCACCCAAATGCAGAAGACTCATAAACTCTTGAATTCTACCACACAAGAAGTCCCACGGTATTTGGTGAGAATTTACTCTCTCTCTCTCTCTCTCTCTCAACCATGGTGTGTTCATTTGGTGGGAGCTCAAAGTGCCAGCGGCTTTTACTGCCCAGCTGAAAATGCAGTATTTAAAGGATCAAAGAAAAGCTGGCCTGGAATTGAGACAGTAGCTGATCTCGAAAACCTTCCTTCCATAACAAAAGGGTAGAAAGACCGCAAGATTTGGCTTACTTTATTAGTGATCTTTATATACATACAAAACTTCATTGGTTCTTCAAGTAATATGATGGCTTGGATATTTTGCCTTAGGTCCTTGGAGTCAAAAGAATTGAGCGTGTACTTCCAGTTGGTACTTCTTTAAGTGTTGTTGGTGATCCTTGGATAAACTTAGTATGAAACTATAAACACTTTACTAGGTTGTAGTTTCATAGAATTCCCCCATTTTATTTGCACCAAGTTCTTAGATGGAGCTTTTGTTGATATTGAAATGTTATGATGTTTATGACATTGAAATGCCCCCATTTTATGATTCTTGTTCAGGCTGTCAAAGATGGCAATGCTACCATTTCGATTCGGGCACCGGATGGAGGACCATTTTATGTCTCTCCCCATACCATTGATCAGCTCACTGGAGACAGTAGGATTTGGGCAAGGTTGGTTGTATGAATCCCTGAATGCATACAAACATGTTGTAGCGTGTGTGTGTATGTTTGCGACGTTTTTTCGTTTGCTGCTGCTTGTGTCATGTGCATCTCTTCCTCCATGTGTGCTTTCTCTAAACTCCAAACTCACGTAGATGTCTTTCATTGCCAGCTTCTGCTACTTTGCAGCTTTCGGTTTGACTGTGTATGGTGCTGTCCAGATTGCTAAGCATTCTATCTGATTCATCATGGAAACAAAGCCCCGTTGAGAGAAATTGCAGAGAATGTCGATGATTGGATCGTAGTTTTGAGAATTTGAAGGCCTTTAATTGTTCTTTTTTGTACTCTCAATCTGACTCTGCTATGTGGTGCAACTGTGCCAATGGCCCTCAACTTTTTGCTTATGAATGTAAATTTGCAACTTCTATAACTTTTTAGTGTAACGGCACCATTCGTTTTGAGGTTGAAAGTGGTCTGAGTAAATTCCTCTCTCTCACTGATTTATTTTATAGTATAATTAAAAATGTTCAAACCTGGCGTTCAAGAAAAGGATTGATGCAGAAAATTCAATGTCACTTCTTGCCCTACAAACACGTGCCATGCAGAATTTCTACTGCCCGCAAGCTGTTCGATAAAATTCCGATTAGAACTGATGACGTCGCACATAACTTTAAAAATACACGTGTCCGTTGGGAATGAGGATTTTAGGAATTTAAATTATTTTAGAGTGGTAATTTCCTCACTCTTTTTTCTCCTATTTTATCCACTTACACTCCTTTTTTATAACTAAAAAAGGAGTGTAAGTGGATAAAATAGGAGTAGGGAAATCATTGCCCTTATTTTAAATAATTATTTTTTTGCCCTCGTATTAATTTTGGTTTCCTTCATTCGTAAGCTTTCTTACTTCTTAAGTGGAAAGGTCTTCTACATAACTAGACTTCTTGTTATGAAAGGAAATTAGTTGAATACCAAAAAGAAAAAAAGAAAAAAAGAATTTGTTTTCTTCTTCGGAGAGGCAGAGAGTTGAAGATGCGAGATTGGAACTGGTTATTGTGTTGCCTGGGTGCAGTTGCTATTTTCCTTCTTGGATGGAGCCACAGCAGGTCTGTTCATGCTCCATTATTAACGATTAATTTGAAGTTATTGTAGAAAGAAATTAAACTTGTTTGGTGTTTTTGTGATTTTACAGGGATGCAGATATTCTTAAAGCGGTGCCTCGGATTGACCAGTTGAGCGAATTGGGTATGTGCCTTTCTTGAAAAGTTTTTATCGATTTTTCTAGTTTGGCGCCTTTTCTGAAAGACTGTTGGAGAATTCCTGTCTTTTCCATAAACGTGTAGAAATTCTTAGTTGTTCTTGAAGTTCCATTTGAGTTCGATTTACAATTTGTAATTTTGATAAACGTGTATGAGAAAAGAAGCAATGTGATGATGAGATTGAAACGGTTGTGAGTATACATTGGAACTCATCACAAATGTTAGAGAGTAAAGTTTTTAGTCCTGGCAGCGCACTGCTTTGCCTTTTAAACGCATTTTCATATGAAACATCTGCTGGGAAAAGATTTATTTGCTAGTGATGCTGTTAATCTGCTTGGATTTGTTTCCAAAATAACAATGTCTTCTTTCATGTTTCAGCAAAATTGTTGGATGCTGAGCATGTGCCCTTGGTGGTTGGAATTTCAGGGAGAGTTTGCTCTGAAACCCCCATAAACTGTGAGTTTGGTGGTTTACGAGGTGTAATTGTGGAGCAATGCGTACAAATCACAACTCTAGATGCCATATATAATATGGGATTCTTTCTTTTGAGGTTATTTTTATTTTTATTTTTTCTAATTGCAATCTTCTTGATATATTCTTTAGGCAGAACAAAAGTTTTTGAAACGCAACGTGGATGGTGATTGGAGATCGGGTTCTGATTTTATGCTTTCAACGTGCAAAGAAGTCCCCTGGTATTTGGTGAGTGGCCGTGCTCTCTTTCTCTGTGTCTCATGAGAGTATCAGTACGCAACCATGGTGTATTTGGGGTGTGGTCTTCTTAGAGAATTCCACATGTTCATTGTTGTGCTTGATTAAGTAAATATTAGTTTTGGGTGCACTTGGTTGAACGTTGACTAACGTGATATGATGGTGGTTCCTTGGTTTTTTATACCAAGATGATGGGACTGGTCGTGTGAATGCGGTGGGAGCTCAAGGTGCCTCAGGCTTTAACCTTCTGGCTTCAAGTGGGGTATTTGAACAGTCAAGGAGATGCCTCAAATGTGAGACAATAGATTACCGCCCAGGCCTCAAGGTTTGCCTTGTTTAGTAATCTATATATCTGACAAAACTTATCGGTTCAACTAAATTTTTCACTATTTTGTCTTAGGTACTTGGAGTCAAACGAACTGAGTGGGTACTTCCAGTTGGTACTTCTTTGGGTGTTGTTGGCGAGGTATGTTGTAATTCAATGTGATGCTGCAAGTAATTCATATCCCAAGGTTTTGAAGCACCTTCATTTCATACAACTACGCTCTGAAGCTAATAATCAACTACTAGTATTCAGATAATTCAATGTGCATGTGTGTGTATATATATATATGACTTTAAATTATCGAATTACAGCATATCAGTTTAATATGCTACCAAACTTTACATAATTAAGTTGGATGGATGTTGTGGATGATGCGCATGTATGTACTCCAACCACATTAATGTTTTCCAAGGATGAGCCTTTTTTGCTTAGAACAACTTGGTATGGTATACACAATAAAAGGCTTTAACTTGAAGTTTCATAGTATACACAATAAACAGCTTTAACTTATAGTTTCATAGACATGCCCCATTTATTAGTAGGAAGTTCACTAATGGAGATTTTTTTGCACATTTAAATGTTATGATGTTAGTCTACTTAATTATATACTAATCCTTCAATCTTTCAAGTTCATGTTCAGGTTGTCAAAGATGCAGTTGGTACCATTCGAATTCAAAAACCCCACGATGGGCCATTTTATGTCTCTCCCAAATCCATTGACGAGCTCATTGCAAGCCATAGGAACTGGGGAAGGTTGTTAATATGAATGTCTGAATGCATATAGAAATGTGTGTGCTAGTGTTGTGTGTGTGTATACCTCTGCACTGCTCATGTGCTTTTTTATGTGTGCTTTATCTAAAGTCTAATTAATATAGATTTCTTTACCAGGTTTCTCAAATATGCATCTTTTGGTTTGGCTTTCATCGGTCTTACTTTGATTGCCATGGAATTTAATGAATACATCATGGAAAGACAGCGCCGCTTTGAATTGCAGAGAAGCCTGACCAGGTAAGTTTTTTGCCCAAGTTACGTTTATTGAGAAACTAACTGCGAGTAAAAATGCTGCTTATATGATCTGCAAAGGACAAACATCATATGTTGATGTTGTTTCTCATGAAAATATGTCACACCTGTTCCATAGAGGTGTATTTTTGGATAGAAGCCCAATTTATTTAACTCTAGATGTGTGTTTTTTCCATCGTCTTTTCTTCTGTCTGTTGAGACCAATAGAAAATGAAATTCCTGCCTATGCAGGGCTGTTGCTGCAGCTTCTGTAAGACCTGGGGAAGATGATGAAGGTATATTGCGGAGCGTCCCAACCACTGTTATTTTCCATATACTATATTTTCCTAAATGTACTAAGAGTCTTGAACTTTTTGTCTCCTAGGTTCAGACGAAGGGGCTGTTGATGCATCAAATGGTACCAATTCATGTGTGATATGCCTTGAGCAGGAGTATAGTGTTGTTTTTCTCCCGTAAGAACTGCCTTTCCCTCATTTGTTACAATAAAGCGTCTCATCTATTCCTTTGTTAAGTCAGCACACGTCTGAACCATTTATTTTTCCAGGTGTGATCATATGTGCTGTTGTACAAGTTGCTGCTTGAACCTGAGGAAGTGTCCCCTTTGCCGGCAACGAATTGTGCAGGTGGTGAGGACTTTCCGCCCTTGAGATTCTGCTTCAAATTTGAGGTTCTCTGCTCTAGTAGATGAAGAATTCTGGATGTGGCAACTTCAGTACACGGTGCTTTTCTGGATTCACTATTGAGATTTGTAAATGCTTAACGGCTAGAAATCCTTATTGTATCATTGTAAATTGATATTAGATATTATGGCCTGTCTGAGTTAGAGACAAGACACCAGGTCCGCTTTAGTGTGGATATTTCATGGTCCCTAAGTTTGATGATCAACAACATTATTAGGAAAATCGTTATTTTTCTACTCATTCATGGTAATTATTATTTTATTATTACTTTCTTTTTTATCATATACAATAGAAGGAAATCAAACAATTTACTCCTTGTTTACTTAATTTTTTCGCATAAGGATGGCGAAATCTGGCTTGTTTAAAGAGGATGATTTTACTTGGTTAGAAGTGCCCTATAATCTTATTCAATATATCCTTTTGTTTGATTTTATGAGTAAAGGGGTCAAGCTCCATGCCCCCGGTTGTATTATTATTACTTGAATTTTTAATAAATTGCCATCTAATTTGGGACTTCATTCAACTTTAAAAAGAAAAGTAGAAAAAATTATAACCTCTTTAAACAAGAAAAGACCTTCAGAAAAACTTTTATTTTTTATTCGATTAAATTTCTTTTTTCTTTTTTTCTGTCGGAAAAAAAAAAAAAAAAAACCTATCTTTGCACACCATTCCTATCTATCCCCAATCCCATTCCACGTGACCGAAAGCTCTGTCACTCTCTCTCTGGTGTCCCTTCACTTCCCTTCGCCCTTGCCAACACTTCTCGTATATAATTTCCCTTCCCAACTTTTCCTTTTTAAGTTTCCAGGGAAACAAACAGAAAGATTAGAGAACCCTTTCTTCGCGGTTTCCTATTTTCCTAGAATTTCACTTTTCGTTTTCCCCTCACTCAATCCCGAAATCCCCAATTCCGACGTCCTTCTCGATTTCTCTTCTTCGGTTATACTTTCTCCATTCTCTAAAAATAAATAAATAATAATAATAATAGTAGTATAGCCGCACGGCTATACTCTGTCATTTTAATATTTTTTAAATAAATAGTATCGCCGAACGGCTATACTCTCTCCTTTTTCCCCCATAGCGGGCCGGCTATACTCTGGCCCTTTTTAATTGTTTAAATAAATAGTATAGCCCATCGGCTGTACTTTTAAGATATTTTAAATTTATTTATTAAATTGTATAGCCGGACGGCTATACTCTGTTTTTATTTTTAAAATAGTATAGCCGGCGGCTATACCATTTAATAGTATAGCCGGCCGGCTATACGCTGTCCCTTTTAAATTTTATTGCTAAATAGTATAGTCGCGCGGCTATACTATTTGTATCCCGTTTTGTCAGAATAAATAGTATAGCCGCGCGGCTAAACTCTATCCCTTTTTTTATTTACAAATTTAGAAATAAACCCAATCCTAGACATGTATTTATAAAATAATAATAATAATAATAATAATAGTCGTATAGCCGAACGGCTATACTCTGTCATTTTAATATTTTTCAAATAAATAGTATCGCCGAACGGCTATACTCTCTCCTTTTTTCCCCATAGCGGGCCGGCTATACCCTGGCCCTTTTTTAATTGTTTAAATAAATCGTATAGCCGATCGGCTGTACTCTGCAGATATTTTAAATTTATTTATTTAATTTTTTTATCCC